ACACATCAGCATGGGGAATGAACCTTGGCCTGAAGGGTACACAACTGCAACTCATTCAGGCCAGAGCACTGAGAATTTCACGGTGTTCAAACCAAGATTCTCGCTGCAACTTCATGGTGGCTCCATCCAGCCTTTTTTCCGCCTCACTCCTGGCCTCTGCTCAGATAGTAAAGGCGATATGACTGCGCCGTGGAAACAAAGATTGGTGGCATACACCTATTTGCTTGTATCGGCCCAGTCCTCACTGCATTCAGTGCAGGCCATGACCTGACTTGTGCAGTACCTCCTGTGGTTCGGCGTTGCCAACCTCACAAGGGTGGGCCTCTCACAGATTGCAGCCTAATTCATTAACTGTCATGGCGAACATGTTACCCTGCTAGTTAACTGCCCACCACACGCATCTAGTGGCGGATTGGTGGGGCCCTGTGTGAGCATCATTCAAGTTCCATTAACATACTTGAGATGCTGGCGGTCTCGGAGAAACTGCGATGTTACTTCTATGTTCGATGTTGTGCCAGATGATCCTGATTCGATGTGACTTTGACGCAGTTGTAGTTTACATCGACGACCAGGTGGGCAGGCAGCCTGCACACCTGTGTACACTTACTTGAGAAATACCCCATTGGGGTTTTTTCCTCATAGCTTCTTGCTTTCGACGGTCCTCCTCCAAAGCAAGGACAACTAACCACATGTCAATCTGACTTGTTTCATGAACTAGTCACAGATTTCCAGGCTAATGCCTGAGGGTTCCAGACCCCTATACATGTACATGGCACGCGAATACGATGGTGATGAAGACGGACAGGCTACTTATATACACCTTCCTGTCGTCTTCCTCTTATTCCTCGGGTACTTAATCAACTAGAGCAGAAGGATGACAAGGTCCTCTTCTTAACTCCATGTTGACCTCATTGATTGGTTTTCCAGGGTTATAACCATTCCATTGGTTCACCAGTTGGAGGTACAAATGTTCTTCCGAGGAGAACAATATTCTGTTCCAGCACAGCTTGGGTTTCCTTCACCCAGCTCCGCAGGAATTTCTCCTGATGTACTGGATACTGTAATGCTCTCCTGTTCACATCAGACCTTTCTCAAACAAGCTATGGCTTTTACAGCCTGCACTTGAGGGACTTCTAACATGACAGTAGATTACTTAATGTTAGTCAGTTGAACGTCCGTGTCAGTTAACTTAAGGGGATGTTTTAACACCCCTGAATTGCAGGACCTCTTCAACACCTTCTTATCCAAAAGTGTTATAGAGATCTTTAGAGTTCTGTGAACCAGTGAACAATCTCACATCTGTTTCATTGGTTCCTATGGTTGCCTTTTTTCTTTTCTGTTTTGTAAGCAGTTGTTACTTCTTGGTATACATGTAGTAAACATCTGTTTTCTGTATAATGGAGACGGACCACATCTGATGGGAACCAAGTGTGCCCATCCGATTCCTTACGGGAGGATTTTTGTTTTTTAACTAAGAATGTCGGAGTCCTCTTTACCTCCGGACATCTTTGTTCTAGGCATCAAATCATTGTCCATTCCAGATGGAAAATGTTGGTGCCGCTCATGACTTTGGCGTCTGATCCCTAAGGAAGGTTTTTTGAGCTAAGATGGTCGGAGTCCTCTTTGCCTCCGGATGTCTTTGTTCTGGGCATCAAATGATTCTTGTCCGTTTCAGACAGCGAATTTTGGTGCTGATCATGACTTGATGTCTGCTCCCTAAGGAGGGATTTATACTAAGGACTGTCAGAGCCCTCTGGGCCTCCGGACGTCTTTGTTCCGGGCATCAAATCATTCTTGTCCAGACGGAGAATTTTTGGTGCCAATCATGACTTAAACGTCGTACATTAGCTGCACTGGGACGCTTTGAATCGGTCACTTGCAGTTACAAATGTAATTGTCACGACAACCCTGCCATACCAACAGGCTTCTCGCGACACATATTTGTCATGACAACCCTGCCATACAAGCAAGCTTCTCGTGACATGTTTTTTGTCATGACGACCCTGCCATACAGGCAGGCCTTTCATGACATGTATTTAGCATGGTGACCCCACCATACCAGCAGGCTTTCATGACAAGATTGCCTGAAGGTTGGCTATGGTCATCCATGAAACCACGGACATATCAACGGCAGAATCCGTGTGATTGGTCCGCATGCACAAAATAAAAGGCAGAGCATGGGAGAACAGTGTTGAGGGCGACTGACTGAGCCCCACCATGTACTCAAGACATTTTCAGACCGGAGACCTCCCCAGCATTGGTGTCTCCTAACTCTGATTCTTTATTGAACTCTGTACATGTACATGTGCATATTATAGTGTCTATATGTACCATGTCATGATGTTTTGCCTTTCATGATAATTCTTATTTTGTGTGCCCCACCGAACTCTTATGTGTAGGTATCGGTGGGCTGTAATTCATTACGTGTGATTCCCACGCGGATCACATCTCTGTTGGCATGTTGAGGCTACCATTATGACTAATGTCTTTATCATGCCGACCTTTTTGGGCTGCCTTGTCCACCCACATGTGGAGCGACGGGCCCATCCAGGGTTTACGCGTATTGTTACGTGCCTCTGTGAAAGCACAATAGCATCTCGCATGACCCACCTCCTTGACGGTGCTAGTCTATGCATAAGTAGTATTGCTCTACAGGTAAGTAGAGTGAAGTAGACTCCCCCCCCCCCCCACAGAAGTGTGGTTGGGGTCTACGAACGAATACTTACCTGTAGAGCATCCCTCCCCCCTACCCCACTCTTCTCGATGCCTTGGGTATTTTGTTGTATTCCGACTTGGCGCTCGAGAAAAGAGGACGCTCACGAGGCACGCATGCCGCGGGGTATTATGGGTAGGGCGCCAGAGGGCGCTATTGTATATAACTCTTAGCGGAAAATACCTGCCGGTAGGGGGAATATGCATAAGTAGTATTGCTCTACAGGTAAGTATTGGTTCGTAGACCCCAACCACACTTCTGAGGGGGGGATTTTGAAGAATCCATCCTTTTAAACATAAGGTTTGGACATTGCGTTATTTAGCAAAGATTTGTATTAAATGTATCAATCTTCGAAAGGCGCGCGCAGTACGCTCTGAATAGCCAGTCAGCATCGTTTACGTGTACATCACAGCCAGGGGTTAGTGAAGGAACGCGCACGCGCCAATGGAGTTGAGCTTGTGACTTACCAGACGAAATCTGACAGAAAAGTCATCAAAACTTTCCCAACTTGCAAAGTTGCTTCAAATTAGACAACTTTACATCTAAAGAAGCTTCGTAATTATTTAGTAAAACGTTCTAATAATATAAATTACTTTTTAGAAGTCTCAGTTTGCTAGAAATAATTTTAGAACTTTCAGCCAATCAGAAACATTTTAAGCGCCGCTCAAATGGCAGCCATGTTGGATTTTACCATCACGCTATTTATAGCACAGCTGACATGTGTAAACAAACACGTGAGTGTACACACAGAATTTCGGCAGGAAAATACTCAAAACTACCTAGAAATAATACCTGAAAAGACAACAGGAATTTTCTAGACAAAAATGCCAGATCTCTAGGAGGATATAGGTAAGATTTAGAGTAATAAAACTTAAGTAAAAAGTGGGATTTGGGTGCATTTTGGTCACAGTATGATCCAGAAACCTAGTTTGAACTTGTACCATGTTACGAAGATGTCCTAAATTTTGTTACGTCATCATGACGTCATCAAGTATCAAATTACAAGCAATTTCAGGGACAATTTTGACAAAATAGATTGCGCTGTATCTTTTGAACTAAATAGGGTATCATGTTTGTTTTTTAGTGAGGTTGTAGTCTATGCCGTGAAAAACGGTTCCTGTTCCCGGACACAAAACCGCATGACCTTCATTTCAGTTGTTACCGGAAGTGCAATAAAAACCAAATATAACTCAAAAGCCGAAGCATTTTACTACACACATATTATGAAAGTGAGGAATACCAGACACAAAAAAATGTGATGACGTCATCATCCGAAAGGGCGCCCCCTAGCGGCACATCAAATAGAGTTTGCTTTCTTTAATTTTAGAATTTGAAAAGGATCATATGTTTAATATAATTCTATCATTTGACCCCTGTCATATCTTCGTAGTCTGAATAATGATATCCATTACAATGTTCACGTTTGGATAACTCTAATGCTGTGACATCATCAAACCGGAAGTTAGGTGTTATTAATACAAACAATTATATTTCCCATATTTTCATACGTTATTTTCACTTCACAATGAAAATGTATCCTCTCCGAACTTTATCAGTATTCACTAACCGCTTTTGAATGATGATGTCATCAAATCAGAAATAACTTTTTTGCGCACATAGAATGTTTACTGAAATTTATCACACTATTAAAGATTTTTTTTTTTAACATAATCATTGATTGTACTGGAAGGGAATTAATTTCGTGAACCTTTGTTCTACATAGACATATATTCCTAACTTAACTGGGCAGTGTATAACAGTTCAGTTTGTTCTTGGTTTTCAATTGGAGAATCCACAAATGGGTGAAACCTGCTGAATGAGAATCATGTCCCAAATGCTGATTTGGGGAATGTGTCATGAGAGGGCGCAATTCAAAATATGACCCGGCAACTTTGGCATTTGAGATTCAGAATATTGTGGTTATGTTTGTTCAGTTTCCTTGAAATATAGAGAATTCATAGAGCCAAAACCTCATTAGGTTAGTTATTAAGCATCCTTGTTTAGATTTTGAGCACTAGTTTGCTGGTTGAAATGAAATTTAAAAAAATAACAATTACACGGTTTAATTGCCAAACACGTTTTCAAGAACACGCTGCAAGAAACAGCTGTCGTATTGCAACTCGTTGTAACTTATTTTCAACTGTTGCCGTAGCTTCCACTGTAGAAACACGATGTAAAAAACAGAATACAATTTATTGGCTTCAAGAGAGAACTGCACAAAGATAGAAAATGTTTCATTTCCTTATGATTGACTGTTATTCCTGTTTTGTTATTTTTGCTTAAACAGCTGATTGAAATCAACCAGTCTGAGTTAGTTCTCTTGGTTAGGGAGTTATTTGGGTGGTAACGAAGCAGTGGACCAGGCAATCAATCGAGCACACCATTGAGACATGGATCAACCTCCACTGATTGACGGAGTAGTGCTGACTAAGATTGACACCATTGATGATAAAGTAAGTAGCAAGTTTATGTTCTGCATGGGCTTGACCTTGGTTTGATTCCTCTTTTGTTCCATGGTGTAGCCTTAGTTATCCTTGAATGAATTGAAAAGTTTTTGGTTCATATCCTCTGCTTGATCCTCTGTTCTATTGACCCTGAGTCTTTGTACCCCCAGGTGACGATAACGCGACGCCATGTCCAGTCATGCAATGTCAATTCAGTTTGAGAGGTAGTCTGGTAAAAAAGGATGGTTGAATCGTGACATTACACTTTTTAACAAATTTAAGAATGTGATGACAGAATTTCAGAAAGTTGACTGGATATCGCCGCTAGGCATCATCATGCAGTTTGACTTCACGCCGGTGCCGTGCAAGCGTGAAATTAAGGTTGTGATGCAAGATGTTTTCCTAGGGATATGTTACATTGGGACGATGATGTTTGATGAATAAGATCATTTGGGAGCTCGTTTCAGTCTTCAATCGTCTTTGGGAACAAACTTTTGTGGTACGCTTGTGTGCGGCATTGCAAGGAAGCGTAGGGCTGATTATGTCTATTTCTTTGTGGTCGTTCTTCTGGGGTGATGTAATAAGGGATGTCAAGGGCAATTTCTTCATGGATGGAGCGGTAAAGCATAGTGACCCTGCTGACTGTTCTGTGGTGTTGGAGGCATGGGCTCACAAAACCAAGTGTTGTATTAGCTCTGCTTGCTATTTGATTGATGTGAAGAGACCATGACAAATGTTTTTGAATTTCAACTCCAAGGTATGGATGGTTGGGTACAACAGAAAGGTTGGCATTCATCTGTAGATATTATCATGATGATTTTTGCTTCTTGTCATATGTAGGGTGTGACATTTCTGTGGCTTAAATGACATCTGCCATTGATGAGACCAGCTCACATGGCTATCCAGATCTTTTTGGAGTTGTTGTTGGTCATTGAAGTTAGCAATGCGTCGGAATAGTAGGCAGTCATCAGCAAATAACTTGATTTTGGTGTCTTTGCTAATGTTGTCACCAATGTCATTGATGTAGAGTAGAAACATCAAAGGGCCTAGTACAGTGCCCTGGGGGACTCCTGATGTAGCAGGCGCGGATCCAGGGGAGGGCCGCGGGAGCACGTGCCCCCCGTCAAATTTGAGTCCAAAAAAAATAGAAGGGGGAAAAAAGAGGGGGAGGTGAGAGAAAAGGAGGGAAGGAGGAGGGAACCTCCTTACAAAAATACTGGCACCGATATTAAACATGAGCCTGCAAACATTGAGTACTCGACTCGACCGCGATCCCATCATACGTACCCTGTACGTACCCTGCATATACCGTTATTGAATGCAATTCATACGAATATACACGATTTATTCTCTACGAACATGCAGTTTATGTGCTGTGCGCGACAAACACACGTTGTGCACTGCTCTTTGGACCACCCCCATTGGTCAAGGGTGTGTTTCAGTAAGAACAATTTGCCAGCAGTTCCACGCGCTTTTGAATTACAAATTATACTTTTTCACGGAGTCCAAAACATGTCCTTGTTTTAAATTGACTTCTTCAACGTCACGTCATCATATAATTTCGTAAAGACTTTATTCGAGATGTAAAACCCTGAAAAAAACACCCCTGAAGGTCATTGATCCGTCCTTAAAACGTTGTTTTAATGAAGAAAGTTGGGTTTTGACGTTACTACGCGTTGCAGAAAATACAAATCTGATAAGTTTGGTACATAAAAGAGATCTGTTTGTTCTTAGGACAAAAACAATCATCAGTTATTGCCCAAAGGCAAGTTTTAGCACTCGAGACATGCTCTTGCAAGCTAGACGGAACGCAAGTGTGTTGCTTTTTGAATTGCAAGCGAGATACATTTGATCGTAGTTCGCCGGTGGCGACGCGGGCCGGCATCCGTGCCAGGCCGGGAGGTATACACCTATTCCCGATGTCTATTTCTCAACGTTATCATCAACAATTATTTACTGTAATTTTTTTACATAACTAAATAACGAATCCACCTTCAAAATTGTACCATGTTGAAAATGCAATCGTGGCGCCGAAAGACCCGATGTCTATTATAATGTAACTACGCGTCGAGTGGAAAGATATTGCTCGTATCCCATGTGAAACACCCGAAGCACATCATCATGGAGACTGATTAGTCTGGTGCTTCCAAAGATGGTATGTTCCATTCAGTTGTGGATGAAGCAAAACAAATATTTGTGTAGAATAATCTTGTTTTATATATTTCTTCATGCTTTTACAATGGTTATTATTAATCACCATGGAGTACTTATAATTACAAATAAGTGACAAATCAATGATGATGGTGATGAACTGAAACAAAATGCAACCAAAGTGAAAAAAGAAATAACAACATTGGCAAAATATTTTGGCTCAAATGATGGCCCAGAAAAGCTTAGGTTGCACCACAGAGCATCTAAAATCCAAAATTTTTAAGCAGGCCCCGGACCCCACGCCGTCATGGCTTCGCGCTTGCAAGAGTTTGTACCCGTGCATAACATTTTCAGGGATTTTTCTCCACAAGCCAATCAACCATTTCAAACTGAAAGTATTGATAAAATAAGGCCATGGTGTATAAAGTCAAGCTATACCATTTCCCCCAAGTACTGCTATTCGAGTATGAGTACTTTGCTGCCTGAGTACGAGTTCCGTCATTTCTTTTCGGCCCGACACCGGTTGGTACACTGATGAGGTGTTCCAAGCTAAGCACAGACGAAGACAGCTTGAGCACAGGTGGCATGCATCCTCACTCGAGATTGACCGCCAACTACATCACCAACAATGCCAGCATGTGATCTCACTGATCCGTAAGGCCAAAAGAACCCATTACTCAGAAATAGTCTCCAAGTGTTCCGGTGATCAAAAACAACTGTTTCGTGTCGCCAACAAGCTTCTCCATAGGAATAAGGAATCTTCTTTACCACAAGTACGATTCTGACAAGTCACTGGCTGACCATTTCAGCCATTTTTTTCACGTCCAAGATTTCTTCGATTCGTGATGCACTACCTCTCCTTGTGCCAGATACAGATACTTCTACCCCCACCCCGCCAACACAAACTACACTGACCAGTCTCCGTTCTGCCTCTCAAGATGAGACACTGCATGACCAGTCTCTGTTCTGCCTCTCAAGATGAGGTTTGCACTGTCATCTTCAAATCCCCAGCCAAATCATGTGACTTGAACCCTATACCAACCTGGCTCCTTAAGCAATGTTCTGAATCCATCGTTCCTGCCATCACCACGATTATCAACCGCAGCCTGCAATGCAGTGTTGTTCCTTCTGTTTTCAAAGTTGCCCACGTGTGTCCAGCATTGTTAAAGAACTCCAATACCACCGCCCAGTTTCCAACTTGCCGTACATCTCAAAGTTACTTGAGCGTGTTGCTATCTCCAGGCTGTCGATGCATTTACGGAATAATGATCTATTGGATAGTCGCCAATCTGCAAATCGTCAGAACCATAATGTAGAAACATTACTTGTTCATCTGTCTGCGACCACATCCTACGACAGATGGATGTTGGCAAAGTAATGGCGCTTGTGCTTCTCGATCTGTCATCAGCATTTGACACCATAGATCACGCCATCCTGATCAGTCGCTTGCACTCTTTGGGAGTGCACGATGCAGCCTTGCAGTGGTTTGACTCATACCTTGCAGACCGGCAACAGTCTGTTAACTTCAATGGAGTATTATCTGCCCCTGCCTCCCTTGACTGTGGTGTTCCTCAAGGATCTGTTGGCGGTCCCATGTTATTCACCATCTACATTTTACCACTCGACCAGATCATCCAGAAACACAACCTATATCACTGCTATGCTGATGACATACAGCTGTATCAATCCTTCAATCCAACTCAACCCAATGCTGTGTCTGCCCTGGAGAATCGTGAGGCTTGCATTGATGAGATCAAGACATGGATGATGATAAACAGTCTCAAATTGAATGACAACAAGTCTGAATTTATCCTGTGTGGCTCAAAACAACAACTCGCCAAGTTCAATATCACCAGCATTAGGACTGGAGATTGCCACATCCATCCTTCCAACAAGTGTCGCAACCTAGGTGTCACTTTTGACCCCCACATGTCCCACATTGATCAGATATCAACAGTGTCAAAATCAGTCAGATTTCATCTTCCTAAAGCAAATTATTGTGTATTCTGACTGTTTGGAACAACAAAGAAAATGACAAAGAATACTTATTTCACCAACTATAAGATTTGAGGCTTTGCATGGTGGGGTATTGGTATCGTTTCGGTTTGCGGTAACACCATGTGGTAATAACTACTGCTTAGAAGATATTAGTTCTGAGAAGAACTTGTCCTGCTCTTTATCAAGTTTGCTAAGTAGTTTTTTGTTCTGTTAAGAACAGTCCTGCTGTAGGTTCTAACCGAACTTGTCTTTGGTCTCAACGTTTCGACTAGCCTGCTCTAGTCATCGTCAGGAGACTGTCTCCTGACGATGACTAGAGCAGGTTTCGACTAGCCTGCTCTAGTCATCGTCAGGAGACTGTCTCCTGACGATGACTAGAGCAGGCTAGTCGAAACGTTGAGACCAAAGACAAGTTTGTTTAGAACTTACAGCAGGACTGTTCTTAACAGAACAAAAAACTACTTAGCAAAGTTGATAAAGAGCAGGACAAGTTCTTTTCAGAACTAATATCTTCTAAGCAGTAGTTATTACCACATGGTGTTACCGCAAACCGAAACGATATTTCAACAACTGTAGTACACAATATCTTTATTAACAACCCTGGTTAGGTAAACAATACGATTTATAAAATCCCCCTTTTTTTTAAGACAGGCCTTTAAAATGACTATGTCAATTATTTTTAACTTTTAAACTGAGGTTTTATCGCTAGTGAAGTTTGAAGACAATTGTGACAACGATTCTTGAAATTGCATTTTTGGACAAAATAGGTCTTAGGGTCATTGTATTTAAATGGTGATTATTCTTTGGACAGATTGAGCAATTTCAGTAATTTTTTCATCTAACAGTAGCTTTTAAAATTGGCTTTCCAGTCATTATTATTTTTGGTGATACATATTTTTTTAAATATCAAATAAATGCTGAACACGCCACTAGAGGTCCAGAGCAAAATAACACAAATTTATTTGTTCAAGTTTGTTCAATTTTAGTGAAGGGCTGTAGAGCTAGGGTGTGCACCCCCCCCCCCCCCCCATTATCCAGCAGTACAAAACTGCATCTAAATATGGCATATGTCATACCCTGAGGAGGGACAATGGAACAAAACAATCTGGGTGTTGTTCCTTAAAAGCTGCTGTGAATTTAAATTAAAGGTCAGCGCAACAACTACGGAAACTATGTTCAAAATGATCATTATTATGTTTGTTGATGAAGAAATTAACACTAAAACAACTGGATACAGGGTTTTTGTTTAAGCAACGCGCACCAGCATTTGAAAACGGGAAATAGATATGAGAAATAAAATGGACCAAACTTCAAAATAAACATGCAGATAGATAATCCACAACAGGTAAAAAATATTACTTTTACGGACATAAAAATACATTTTTACATACAAACCTACGGGGAAAAGGTGCGCGTCTCGCAACTTTTGCCCCATGCGCTAAAATATGGCGCCGCCCATGGCAGACCGTGCGTCTGCACTCACTGCCAATCTAGTGTTTTTAGTCTATATTAATGATGTGCAAACCCGACCAGAAACCAAAACCGACCCGACCTGAAACCGACTTTGGATTGGGTCAGGTCGGTTTGACCATCTTTTCAGTCGGGTCCAGTCCGTTCCGTTTCAGTTTTGCATTTTAATTTTTGGGTCGGGTCGGGTCGGGTCGGTTTGGTTTAGCCATCTTTTAAAAAAAACCGAAATAAACCAAAATAAACCGAAATACACCGAAACAGTTGAGAAATTTAGGTGATGCAATATTATTCACAGTCACTGTGACCGCAGCCCATTGTGTGGTGTGGCCACCGAGCGCACTATCAAGTTGCCACTGTATTAATTTCTCCAGTCGAATGGGACTGACAGTGAAATAGATAAGATTGTAACAGTTTCCATGATACCTTGTGATGATACCATGGGACTTTGTTCAGTAAGCGAAGTTACTCTCGATCAACCCACTGAGTATGACAGAGAGAGACGATGGTTTAGCAAAAGAATTCATGCCACGTGGGTAAGGGCAGGCACAAAAAAGTGATCATTTTGTCAAAGCAAGGTATTTGTTGTGTTTTTTTGGTTTTTATCGGGTTGGGTCGGTTCGGGTTGGTTTTACTTTATTTTTTGTCGGGTCGGCTTGGGTCAGTTTGAGGGAGTTAAGATCGGTTTCGGTTCGGATTCGGTTTATATCTTTAATGCTTCGGGTCAGTTTGGCCTGGTCAACCCGACCCGATGCACATCATTAGTCTATATCTATGTTGACAACCTTCACACATGCTATCAATTTCCAAATACGTGTCAAGTGACACATTTTTGAAAATGTCTGTGAATCCGGCCCTCCCTCTATGCATTCTTATTTGTACTTGGTTTGCAATTGGGGGATTCAGGAACCGGTGACAACAATGATGTAATTTTCCAAAGATGTGTCAAGTGACACAAATTTGTCACCATTCAAGTGTTTAAAACAACAGAACATAATCTTTAAACCTTGGTCATCCGTTCCAACCTGAACGCAATCTACTTTTAGCATATTCTCTGTGTTCCTATTGGATACTGTAATTTCACCAATGCGTAGAAACGCTGCAAACACCAACAAATATAAGCTCTTATACAACGCTTTTTGATAGAATGATTGTGAACAATGTTCTAATGCATCTACCATCTTATACAATATGTTAAAGGGAATGTACATCATTGGTTTTTTGCTGTAATTTTTAGAAATGAACTATTTGAGGGGTTACTATGATAGATAAAATATTATTACACTAACATGTTTGAAGTTTTTGTGTTCGAAAATGGTGGAAAAACCAAGAAAAACACAAATGGTGGAGTAGTCTGGTTCCCTGACTTCACTAAAGATAAAATGGATCAAATTATAGATTTGAGGTAAGGGAACCAGTCTAGCTGGCCTGCACCCATTCATGAACATGTAACCAATAGCAAACAAAATTTGGACTGAAAAAAATGGTGAATTTAGAGCAGTAGTTGAAAAATAGTTAGGTTTTTCCAACGGTGGTCATCCCGACCACTGTTGGAAATTTATACAAAATACAAATTTCTTGAAAATGACTTCACACCAGGTGCCATAATTTTACAGGATGCTTTTGACTGTCATTTACCAGCATCCTAGTAAGGTATTTCATAAAAACTTGGTAGTTTCATTTTTCGATGTTTGCATGTTGTTTATTCCCTTTTAATAGGCAATCTTACATCTAACTTGGGTTTGGCCAGTTGTACAACTTGGATCTCTTTTTGTACCATAAACGCATGACCTGGCTCTGTCATTATAAAGTTTGTGAATTAAATTAATTGTTGACACTATTAGTACTAGCTGCATAGTTAGCCTCGAATAAGTGGGTTACAAATAGCGCTACCAGGATTGGTGGCAGTGGCAATGAGGCGCTTAAGCCGTACTTATTGATAAACTGAATCAATATTTGTGCTCTTTGGTACGTTCTCCATGTGCAAACAGCCATTGATTTTGAAAGTAGGTTTAGTAATCCTGGAACTAACTCTGAGGTTGTATTTCCACTGGTAGTAACAATGGATGTTCCATCGCTTGTGGGGCTGCTTTTTGGAATACTTCCACCTGTAGACCAGAAAGTTTATCAGTTAGTGTATTTAGCCTATGTATCCAGGGACATGTACTGCTCGAAACTGAATATTAAACAACATTCTTTGTACTACTAGTCTACACACCAGAGCCATAATTTTCACTTCTTTAGCTGTATTGGAGTTAATAATGTGCACTAACGCCTCATTGTCTGTATGGATTAGGATTCTTTTATTAGACCAGTGATTTCCCCAGACACAAACCGCAGCTACAATTGATAACATTCTTTAAGTGTGATATTTTCTTAAGACTATATGATGCTGGCCATTGCCCATAAAACCAACCTCTACCGAAAATTGCACCATATCCTAATGAATCAGAGGCATCTGTGTACAAATGTAAGGTTTGGTTTGTTAGCCACTGATCTGACAGAAAGAATGCCTTGCCATTAAATTGCCGTAAAAACAATAGCCAGGCCTGTAAATCCAACTTCAATTGAGTTGTTAACCTTATAAAGTGCCAGGGGCATCTGACACCTATGGTCAAAATTTATTAACCTCCTGAAAAATGCACGACTCGAGACAACAACTTTGCAAGCAAAATTTAAAAAAAAAACCAATTGACTGCATTTCCTTTAAAGTTACTTTGGTTTTGTCTAATGCTTGACTGGTTTTAAGATGGCTTTTGCAATTTGTCTGCCGGTAACTGCGCGGCCATTGCTACCGTATTGTATCTAGTTCGATCCTGGCAAATGTTAGCCAGGTTGTAGGCCCTTCAGTTTTCTCTGGTGCAAGGGGAATACCCAACTTATTACTCAGTGTTTGAAATCCGACCAAATCATGCACACCCTGTTGATGAGATGTTAAAACTATTAGAAAATCATCCAGAATATGGACTAAGCCAGCTGGCTTCAATTCCTTATTTACTATCCATTCTATCGCTGTGCTAAATTCCTTGAATATAGCATATCGGCAACCAATTGGTAGAGTTTTATCATAAAAAAGTTGGTTATCCCATAAAAACCCTAGCAGATTATGGTCACTTGGATGAATCGGTATAATCTTGAATGCAGACTTTAATATGTCCAGCTTAGATAGCACACATCCTGGGCCCACTTTCTTCACAATTTTTATTGCGTCATCGGTTGACGCATACTTGACCATTGGGTTGCAATCTGGTATTCCATCATTTACTGAACCATGATGAGTTTTTTTAGAAACTAAACCAATCGGGCTAATGCAAAAATTATTAAGTGGCAAGTCTTGGAACGGCCCTGCGAGCCTACCTTGTCTAAGTTCTAACCCTAGTTTTTCAGAAACCACTTTTGGATTTTGAAGAGCAGATTTTAAATTTGTTGATGTCCTAAATTTTTGATTGCCTGTAAAACCTAAAAACAAAATGTCAATCCATGAATTAAGAATTTGTACTTAATGCCATCATAGCCTTGTAACATAGTTTGAAGCACATCTTTGTTTACTGGTGTTATTGGTTTGTCCTGGGATAAATGAGGTCTGTCCCCTTCCTGTTCTGCTTTTAGGCTGTGTATAGGCCTCCTCTTAACAGGAACAATCAAGTCACAGAACAAATTTAAATGGGCGATCTGACTCTGTTATTATGTTCGTCCACAAATGAGTTCTGGTAGCAGGGCTTTGCTTTGTGGGGTTAATTCAATGTTTTCTTTCCCCTTTCGAGCCCTGGCACAAATACAGCTCAATAATTCAAATTTTTCCTTTCTTTATTTGAATCCTTTCAGCAAAGTGAGGACCACTGACTGATGAGGGAATTGCTCTACTGAGATGAGGTTGAGCCTGCCTCAAGACATTGTCAGGGCTCCGACGGCCTCATCAAACAGAAACCCGAGGAACCAGAAGCAGGGAGGAGGACCGACAGATGAACGGATGACCTGCTTGCTGGGCTACCCATTACTGATTCTTGAGGTTAGTTTTTAGTTACATGTACCTAAAGAATAAGCAGAAACAAGTAATCAAAATGGGTGATCTGGCCCTCTTCTATGTTCTCCCACAAATAAAGAGTGCTGGTAGTGGGGCACTGCTTTGTGGGGTTAATTCGAACATTTCCTCCACCCCCACCTCTTGCTCTATCTTTCAGATATTTCTTAATAATGATAACCCAGTCAAAACCTAGAAAACTCAGAGTCATTGTGAAGATGTACCCTGGAGGAATGCTATCAGTCAAAACCTAGAAAACTCAGTCATTGTGAAGAATTATTTGATATTTTATAATGAGGATTTAAACGTACATACAGGCTGGACATTTGTCACAAAATGTCTCTCCCTTTTTATACATTACCCTAATCACATCATAACTTTGAAGCCATTTTGAAAACTGATATTCTCGTTTGACAACAATGTAAAATGGCTTAATAATGTAACTGGAAGTGCCTATTAGAAACTGAATTTGTCCTAAGCACCCTTTTCCTAGCAGTGAAAAAAAGAGAAAAAATACTTGCTCATCTTTTACCTTTATATGCAACATCCATAAACTTATGTAATTGGCCCATAAGAACCCTCCGATGCAAACATGCATTCTCAGCCATGCTGTTACTCGGGTCAAAATCAGTCAAGTGACCGTTTTTTGACCCGATGGAATTCTATGCATAGTACTAAATTATTGACCCGTTTTGACTGCTTAAGTAACTGGCCATGAGAATGACTTGACCAACTGTGACCCGTAGAACAGTTGTTGATAATGAATATTTGCTGACTGTTATTGACTCGTTAAAGTACTGTCATAGTCAGTAACTTGCTGGTATTGACTGTTTGAAACATGATCCCTGTCAAAACAGCTGTGGGTGCTAAATTGCTGTTGACTGTTTTTGACTTGACAGTCCTTCTGATTTGAAAATCACAGGCGTGTGGAAAAAGGCACACCTAGACTTTTCTAGGTGTGTATTTTTTCTAGGTGTGTGATTTTCTAGGTGTGTGATCTGTGGTCCAGGGAAATTCAGGCATGCAATTGTTCACACTACACGGGAAGCTTTTAGGTGTGCGATGGTGTGGGGGTGTGATCGCACACCTCAAATCAGAAGGACTGACTTGACAAAGTGCTGTCCACAGTTGGTGTTTGGTATTGACTGAAACATGATCCCTGTCAACCCCCCCCCCCCTCCAAAACGAACCCCTACCTATTACCCTGTTTTCAAATGCCATGTAATTGGAAGCAGAACTTTTTGGGTGGGGGCCTATTGGTATTGTCAGCAATTGGTAAGTGGCTGGTATTATCAAACAGCTGTGGCTACTGTGTGGCTGTTGATTGTTGTTTTGACCTCATAAAGTATTGTATGCAAGTGGCTGGCATTGTCAAACAGCTGTGGCTACTGTGTGGCTGTTGATTGTTGTATTGACCCGATAAAGTATTGTATGCAAGTGGCTGGCATTGTCAAACAGCTGTGGCTACTGTGTGGATATTGATAGTTGTATTGACCAGATAAAGTATTGTCTGCAAGTGGCTGGTATTATCAAACAGCTGTGGCTACTGTGTGGCTGTTGATTGTTGTATTGACCTGAGTAATGTTATAGAGTGCAGCGCTACTAACTGGCGGCTCCTCATCATGCTCTCCACCAATGTACTGATTTCCTCTTTCTTAGCGGTGTTTCCAGTCATGTCTTCATGTCAAGTTGAACTTTAGCGCATACTGATCAACATGGTGAGCCAGAATATATGTAACATCATCTGGTTTGGGATCATTTTAAGGGAGTTTTTCCTTCCTTTCCTGTGCATTTGGGGCTCTAGCAGTTTTTCTGCGCACCAAGACGTCAGGTATCTTTTGTGACTAGTAGATCACACCTTCTGCTGGTAACAATTGGATGTTCCTCCAGCACCAGTGGTATCTGTGAGACATGGTTATCCATCGCAATCTCCACAGCATTGATTTGAATCTCTTGTGCGCTGAGATTGAAGGCAACCGTCTGTCAGCCCGATGCCGTGTTGCCAGTGTTGTAGTCGAGTACTTTTTTCTGAGTACCGAGTACTGCCGAGTACTCAGGGATGTGATTTCTCCGTTTTTTCCCGGAAATCTGTTTTTTGGGGGGGTTCAAAAGTCCACCAACGTGAATCATGTGAATCCGTTGAGAAAGTAGGGGGGTAGAATGTGCTAATTAATTATTCATAATGAGTTTTGCTTGCCGAAATATCCGAATTTACTTACGGACATTACTTCGTTGATCGATACGCATGCACATATTGAATAACCAATGTGAGAACGAGGTTGAAGACCATGCGTTGCCGTTAGCGCGATCATGTGATTTTTCGCTCGGGTCCGAGGTTGTGATTATTTAGGTCTAGTTCCTGTGTCGGTACCCAAGATGCACGTGTTGCGCTGGTCAGGTGTACAGACTAATATTGCTCAGCGTGCACAACAGCATACAGTACAGTGCAATCATGTGGATTATGCACATTGTTTCATGTGCGTCGAGTGTTTGTGTACGTGGCGTGTACGGATGCATCCAACATGGCTGCGCCCAACAAGTCGATATTGTCGCACGGAGATAAATCAGTGCGAGTGCTTGATAAAGAAGTAAAAAATAAGTTCCGGTGGGAATGGTTTCAGGACTCCGTTATTATTGACGGGCATCAGCATGAATTTCAAGAGTGTTTTGATAAAATAGCAACGGCTGGCAAGGTTTTTTGCAATCTTTGCAACGACACTATCAACTACGCGTCCAGTGGAAAGAAATTGCTCGTATCCCATGTGAAACACCCGAAGCACATCATCATTGAGACTGATTAGTCTGGTGCTTCCAAAGATGGTATGTTCCATTCAGTTGTGGATGAAGCAAAACAAATATTTGTGTAGAATAATCTTGTTTTATTTATTTCTTCATGCTTTTACAACGGTTATTATTAATCACCATGGAGTACTTATAATTACAAATAAGTGACAAATCAATGATGATGGTGATAAACTGAAACAAAAGTGAGAAAAGAAATAACAAAATTGGCAAAATATTTTGGCTCAAATGATGGCTTAGAAAGGCTTAGATTGCACCACAGAGCATCTAAAATCCAAAATTTTTCGGGGCCCTTAAGCGGGCCCCGGACCCCACGCCGTAATGGCTTCGCGCTTGCCAGATTTTGTACCCGTGCATAACATTTTCAGGGGTTTTTGTCACATCCCAATCACATCCCTGAGTACTTACAGTACTGTAAGTAACCGAGTACGAGTTCCATGTTATTCACCATCTACATTTTACCACTCGGCCAGATCATCCAGAAACACAACCTTCAATATCACTGCTATGCTGATGACATACAGCTGTATCAATCCTTCAATCCATCTCAACCCAATGCTGTGTCTGCCCTGGAGAATCTTGAGGCTTGCATTGATGAGATCAAGGTATGGATGATGACAAAGAGTCTCAAATTGAACTAGAGTTTCGCGTTTGTTGAGTTACAAACGCAGAGTGGTTGGGCGGACAGCCTTTTCATTTTACACTGCCCAGTTAAGTTAGGAATATATGTTTATGTAGAAAAACGGGATCAAAATCCCTTCAAATACAATCAATGTTTCAAAAAAGGTATCTTTAACGGTGTGATAAATTTCAGTAAACATTCTCATGATGTGCACAAAAAGTTATTTCTGGTTTGATGACGTCATCAGTCAAAAACGGTTAGTGAATACTGATAAAGTTCGGAGAGGATAATTTTTCATTGTAAAGTTAAAATAACGTATGAAAATATGGGAAATATAATTGTTTGTATTGATAACACCTAACTTCCGGTTTGATGACGTCCCAGCATTAGAGATCCAAAGGTGAACATTGTAATGGATATCATTATTTGGACTTCGAAGATATGACAGGAATCAAATGATAGAATTAAATTAAAACCATGATCTTTTTCAAATTCTCCTTAAAGTAACTTCCGGTCTGATGACGTCATGAATTTGAAACCTTGCCAAGTTATCTGTGGTTAATCAGAGAATGTCAAGAGGCGATTTGGTAAAATTTGGAGTGATGGTTTTACAATTAAAGAAGGGAAACTCGATCTTATGTGTCGATAGGGGGCGCCCTTTTGAATTGACGTCATCCCACTGTTTTTTTGCGTCTTGCATTCCTCACTAAACACTTTCATAATATATATGTCTGTAGTAAAATGCTTCCGCTTTTGAGTTATATTCAGTTTTTATTGCACTTCTGGTAACACCGGAAGTAAAGGTCAAGCGGTTTTGCGTCCGGGAACACGAAATGTTTCTCACGGCATAGTCTACAACCTCACGAAAAAACGAACACGGCACTCTATTTAGTTCAAAAGATTTAAGGGCAAACTATTTTGTCAAAATTTGCCCTTAAATCGCTTGTAATTTTATACCCGATGACGTCATGATGACGTAACAAAATTCATAACATCTTCGTAACATGGTACAAGTTCACACAAGGTTTTGTGATCATACCGTAAACCGTTCGGAAGAAATTTTGCTTTGTTTTGATTTCAGGCTAATATCTTCATTTTGAATTCACCTAACTTTGACCTTCCGGTAGACCCGGAAGTAAAGGTCAGGCGAGTTTACGTACATGACAAAAAATGTTGAGCAATTGATAGTCTATCTCATTATAGAATACAAACATCATTGATTATTTAGTTCAAGAGTTATAGGTAAAAGTAATTGGTCACTTTTTCAGATAAAATCACTTGTAATTTGACACCTGATGACGTAATCATGACGTCAGAGTAATATGCACCACTTCGGATAATAATAATAATAATAATAATAAAAGAACATTTGTAAAGCGCCGGTATCCGCCAAAAATAGGCGCTCATGGCGCTCGAGGAG